CGGTGCATTCAAATGAAATATCAACTTGTCGCGCCGCCAAGGAGGACGACAGCTGACTCTGCTGGGTCTGCCAGAGCCCACTCTGTCCTCTGGGGGGGAAGCAGTCTCACTTTTATGAGATTTCACAGAGGTCGCCATCGGAATCTGACCTCAGCTGAGGTAATTGGGGAAAAGATATATTTTCAGAATAAAATAATAATTTATCTGGTGCTGTTTGCAAGCCTATTTTAGTCGAACATTTGAGTCTGGCTAACGTCTCCCAGTCGGTGAGTAGCTGAGCCTTGGGGGGGGGGGGTTAGTGAAGCACAGAGTCTGTTCTTTAATTGATATTTATCGGCTGCAATTGCATCATCAAATTGTGGTGAAGTCTTATTGGTTGCACACAATAAAATAAAAAAGCAATGCTTTGCTTTGAGGCACTTCTTCACATCTCGTCCCACTCAGAGTGCTGCTCCACACCGGGTGGATGTTAAGATTCTTTTTAAAAGGGAAGTGCACTAATTTCACAGGTCGTCATGAGAACTACTGCAACAGGAATAAAAGTTGCAGAGCTGTTTGTGGCTTCAGAGGGAGCCACTCGTATCTGATAAAAAAAATATCAATTGATGTAACTTGACTGGTTGGCTTAAACTGTCCAACTATGTTTTATGCATGCAGTGTTAAATGGTGGAGTAGGGTTTTAAAATGAGGTTTAATCTAGCATTATTTATTTATAAAGCTTTTACTTCACATTCAATTTCAATTCTAGACCCGCAGTTGGACTAACCAGGGATATTGAATTAGAAATTTAGACACAGGCTTGGATATCCAAAGGAAAATATCTGCAACGGGATCTTAAAACTCAGCTCGATGATTGAAACAAACTAATAAACAACACCACAAACTTAACCCTTGAAAGTTTAATTGGAGCAGATCTTCCTCTGTGATAACTGAACTCAGGTTAACTTGTGTGTTGATGTACACACAGTTTAAATCTCCAGGATTTAAAGTCTACAAGATATGAAATCTTCCAAACCCTCTGGCTCTGATTGGTCACGCTCTAGTAAGAGGAGCGAGCCAGGTAAACAGATGTGTGTGGCTTACCGCAGGAGATCCAATCTCCTCTGAGGGGGAAGAGATCCGATAGCAGCGCCGCTCACAAACTCCAGTTTATATTTAAGGTTTTTTCAATGTAGGTATTGTTTTATCAAATGACGATGATACAAAGACAGACATCTTAATTTCTAGGGGTATTCGTGCACTTGTGTTTCCGACATCTGAAGCATGAAACCAGGAGAAAACCTGAGTGGTGTCTGCACTTAGCACCACATTTAATGATTGAATAATCAATTTGTACTAAAGTGAAAGTCTCTCTTCATTCCTCCCTGTTAACCCTCCCATAGGAGCCTGACATACACATGTCCATTGGATTTTTATCACTCCTCTGTCTATGCAGGAAACCATGCTGAGCCAATGCATGCTAATTAATGATGCTGTCATGAGGAGACGCCAGTGGCTGGATGTTGTGGCTTTCTATCGCGATGTACCGCCCGGAATTTTCAAACTCATAAAATATGCCTGAGTCTTCCTCTCTGTGTTTGAGAACAGGCACGCTAGATCGCCAAAGTAGTGTTAGTGATATGTTATGACACAGTGAGCTCTCCCTGCGGGTTCACAACAGAGCCCTGTAAATGCTCCAATGAGATTATCATTTAGGGAAAACTAATGAGTGTGTGTCGCTCTGTCGATGCTTGGCCAGATCACTCTGTACCTAATGGAGGTGATGGACGATTCAGGGTATTTATTTATAGCACGCGTTTCCACATAGAGTGTATCTTAACTCATTCTCATAGAGACCTCTCTTAGTTCCTCTACCACCTCACTTCTCTCTGCTGCTCTACTTTTTGCTGAGAGGTTTTTGCATTGTCTCTTTTTATACCCCTGCCCACTACTTTTGAGCATGAAGGGTTTGAATTTGATTATGCAAAAGCATGCACTGGCACACAGACTCTAATTAATGTCACACAGGAGCTTGGAAGTGTAACCTCTCAAACCAAGTTATTTATCAAACTTTGAACTTGGCATATTCCGATAGTCCGATACCTAGTGTTGTCTAATCAGAGTTTTCCATAAGTGTCGGCTGCCGGCCAAAAAGCTGAATACTCCTCTAAGTCCAGCTGGCTACTTTATTATATTAATATTTTGGATTCTAATAAAATTATTTTGATTAATAGGTTACGGTTTGTACATTTACGACCTGTAGCCTCCGTTTCAAAACAATGAAATTGCAGGGTTTTGTTATTTTGGAGTTACTTTTGGCAAAGGTTTGTTTTATGATTGATTAAAATTAAAAAACAGCTTGTATAGGCTGAATTAGATTTGGGATTATCGTTGTGACATGTCTTGATAAATCAGTGCAATCTCATGATTATTATCCATGTTGGGCTAATAAAACTAAAATTCACTGGCTCCCCCACTGGTTGGCTACAACACATCCATGTGGAAAGGAAGGAGGAATCCTTTTTAATGTCAAGATCGGATTCTTTTTCCAGCGCTTATGTGTAACAAGAGAACATTTAATCACCTGTAAAATAAGATGCCCATTATTTCCAGGCTGTAAACAAACCTGCCTGTGAAGACATACGGCATAATCACAAAACCTGTTGAAAAAATAAAAACATGTTTGCTACCTTTTGAGCATGAAATCGTTGCGGTGTCACGGTGCTTAACGAAGCACTCTGCAGTCTATGTGCCCTCACAGGTTAGCACACAGATATGATGGGATTTTTTAACTCGTCCCCCTGCATTTGTTTAAGCTGCATAATGAAGCTAATTAATGGTTATCACGAGGCGCTACACAACACTCTGTTTATTTATAGCTTCCTGAGCACTTGTCAGTTTGAATGCTTACCGTATAAGTAGATTACAATGCGCGTGATGTGCACATTTACAAACTTGCATTGTGAATTCATGCAGTTTGTCCAGCATCTGTGTCGTCTCTCTCTGCCATGCATCTTTTATAAAGTCTGTCCAGTGTCCACACTGATACTACATATCTCTGTATGCAGGGAACATGATGCATTTCTGTTTGTATTCATGTCAGTCTCCTCACTGTCGTTTTATGAACCAAAGTCAAACAGTAGCTTCTTACCCATACACAAAACATTTGCTGTTTCAATTTTTGAAATTGAGAGTGAGGGCATTTTAAATAAATTGAGATATTCTTCAAAGGTTTGGGTAAACACGTGTTCTAATGGCTGAAGTATTACGCTGAGGTTAAGTTAAGGGTTCTGGGAATATATCTATGGTGGTGGTTATGAACCTTGACAGTACATTGTGTCAGTGAGTATCCTCGGAAGTGAAGTTATACACACGTGTGCGTTGTCCACATTGTCCATTGGCAGCTGACATTAGGTCGAGTGTTAACTTAGCCTATGTTTAGTTGTGTATGTTTTTTAATGCTAATGTTTATTGACAACCCATAGTAGTGATGTGAAGAAAAATGCCTGAAGTCTGCTTCAGGCAAAAAGTTAAATGAGCTGTAAAGTTTGATTCAAAATATATATCATTGAGTTAGAATTTCCCAAGGGCCTGAAAAATGAAGTTATCCAATAATGTCATAAAAAAGATATCCTGAAAATTATCTTACAATGGAATTAATTCTGTGCAATTCAACACATTACATATTTTCCCTCCTCTCAAATGACTCCATACCTGTGGCAGCACACATTATTAGAGAAAGTTTAATTTCCCCCAATTAGACAAAAAGCCTAATTTGATCCCCGGTGTAATACAGCTTTTTACATCCACACAATGCTGCTGATCATTCATGCTCTTACCCACTTTATACTCTGCCATCCAGCCTGTCCAAACAAGGTTAACAACCTCCCTCCCTATGTGCCTTTGTGGCTCCTCATTGTTAATTGTCAAATCTGTAGCTGTTCCCTGCAAAGCAGCTGACACAAAACTGAACATGAGAGCAAACGGATGCTGTAGAAGAGGCAGCAGGACCTTTGAAAGCATTGTTGTCTTTAGATATGAATATCCATAGTCTGATCACTGGTAGAGTGAAACAAAATGAGAGCCCGGGGTCAAGGATGTGTCCCTTGACATATGGTGGAGTCAAAAGACATCAGGCACTGACATATCTTTTAAGCTGCCGGCTCTGTAATGCACCATGAAACATTTGAAATCAAACCAGACTGTAAGGTTAAGGGGCCAACTGTCATCTTTCATTTGAGGGTGATAGACTTGAGGTGACTCACTATGACAGTCATTGACTTTCTGCTCTTAGGCCTTGATAGGTTTGCCTGCAGGATCATTGTCCTACTGCTTTGTACTTATTGTATGTTGTTGAATTGTGCATATTTAAGCCCTTAGGAAAGAATCAGTAAATTGTCAGTTCTTGTATTTTTATAGTTTATAAAAGTTGTCATTGATTCAGATTACAAGATAAGTGCATTTATCAACGCTGGGGTTTTAAAATGTAAATTGCTGTTTGGATAAGGCTAGCAGCTTTGTGCGGTTGTTATATTGATAGACTAAAGATTACAAGATCTGTGACATCTGCACAGAGTTGGAACAGTACTTAAATGAAACACAAATTATGGAGTTTGAGTCTGTGTCACTGTCAAGGGAGTAAGAAATATCAGATCAAGATGAAAATATACCTGGTGTTTCTTCAGTAAGTAAAAATGCACTTACACATAATATTAAACCTTGAAGAGGGCTTGTGCTAACCCTGATAGAAAAGTACAGTCTCACAATTTGCTTAATGAAAGATCTGTGGAGTATCTATTGAGATTTGCATCATCCTTGAGAAATGGTTCATGATATAAATGTGTTGAAGAGAGCAACATTTCAATGCACACTTTTTCAGAAACTCTTTTTGGGACCTGCCATCATATAAAGACAAATAAACAGGATGGTAGTCGACGGTTTAATTGCAGATAAAACTTCTAAATATGATTTGATCTTCAGTAAACCCCTCTCTTCGTTCTCTGTCTCATTATCTCATATAGGTCCACTGCTGTGTGATGGACGACTGACACACCTCCTCTTTCCACTCCTCCTCCTCCTGCGGGCTCCCCTGCTGTTCAGCTTTGGTGAGCGCACCTGCCCCAATAGCTGTCGATGTGAGGGGAAAACGGTCCATTGTGATTCATCTGGCTTCTTAGATGTCCCAGAAAACATCTCAATCGGCTGCCAGGGCCTCTCCCTGCGCTACAATGAACTGCACACCCTGCTACCCTATCAGTTTGCTCACCTTAGCCAGCTCCTCTGGATTTACTTGGACCACAATCAGATTTCAGCCGTTGACAGTCGAGCGTTCCAGGGGGTCCGCAGGCTTAAAGAGCTTATACTGAGCTCCAACAGGATCACGTCTCTACACAATTCAACATTCCATGGAATACCCAATCTTCGCAGTCTGGACTTGTCCTACAACAAATTGGAAATCCTGCAGCCAGGTCAGTTCCATGGCTTACGAAAACTACAAAATCTACACCTTCGCTCAAACGGTCTCTCCAACATCCCGATTCGAGCATTCCTAGAGTGCAGGAGTTTGGAGTTTCTTGATTTGGGCTATAATCGAATCAAGGCTCTTACTCGCACCACCTTTCTGGGTCTTCAGAAGCTGATGGAGTTGCATCTGGAGCACAACCAGTTCTCACGTATCAACTTTTTTCTGTTTCCAAGGTTAGCCAACCTGAGATCGCTGTACCTGCAGTGGAATCGCATTAGGGTGGTTAACCAGGGCCTTCCGTGGAATTGGTACACTCTGCAGAAACTCGATCTGTCAGGAAATGAAATCCAGACCCTGGACCCAGCTGTGTTTCACTGCTTGCCCAACCTTCAAGTCCTCAACCTGGAATCCAACAAACTGTCCAATGTGTCTCAGGAGGCAGTGTCAGCATGGATCTCACTGACCTCCATCAGCCTTGCTGGCAACATGTGGGATTGCGGAACCGGCATATGTCCTCTTGTGGCTTGGTTGAGGAATTTTCGGGGCACTAAAGACACCACTATGATATGCAGCAGCCCAAAGTATCTGCAAGGAGAAAAAATTATGGAAGCCACAATGAACCATGGCATCTGTGAGGAAACTGATTATATTCTGACTGAAACACCCTCACCAATGTCAGAGCTCATTTCTGAAGCAACTGCTGAACCAACCTTTTCCCCGACTGGCACCTCTCCACCAATGCCTCCAAGCAACACCTTTGGTCCTCTGCCACCATTTAGACCTCGACCTATTCCTCATCCTACTTTTCCAGGGCGCATGAACAAGGACCCTAGAGACTCAGTAGCTCGCACACGACCCACTCACTTACCACCCCCAGAGATGGAGCACATGACTCTGCACAAAGTGGTGGTGGGCAGTGTGGCACTCTTCTTCACCATGTCCCTAATCTTGACAGTTGTCTATGTGTTGTGGCGGCGATACCCCGGTGCAACCAGGTTGCTGCAGCAGCGATCCATGGTGGGACGGAAGCGCCGCAAAAAGAGTCCAGAGCCAGAGCAGAACCTGAGCTCCCAGCTCCAAGAGTATTACATGAGCTACAACCCTGCTGCCACACCAGAAGCATTGGAGGTGCTGGGCAATGGCACTGGTTCCTGCACTTGCACAATTTCTGGCTCCAGGGAGTGTGAGGTATGACCCATCGCATCAACCTAAAAATAAAAACTCAAAATCAAAATACAAAGGCTCAACAGAGAGGTAAATCCTTTATCAAGTATACCCTGTTATAAAAAGACACTGTTAAAGCACAGTTAAGCACCTGCACTGTTTGTTCATAACGTGCTTGAATTCAAATGTTAGAGGTCTCCAATTATTCAGGTTATCACTCTTAGAATCAACCTTTAAGTGGGAACCAGAAAAGAACCATTCTGATCCAGGGGAACTAATCTACAAGTTGGATTAAGAGAAACAAGTTACAAAACTTTACTATGTGTAGTTGTTCGGCAACTCAGAATTTATCTCTGTAATATTTGTTATCTAAATTATTTCACCTCTTAGGGACCATGACTAATTGGACACTGTCTAACTATTTCACACACCACTCCACATCAGCATGGCATGGCTCACTCATGTTAAAGAAATCTGTTTGTATGTGGGGAGTTTGTGGGAGGGGTGTGTGCACGGAGCTTATTTTCCTGAGAATGTCCATTTTATTACTCATGCCAACCTTCACGTTGCCATAACTCTATTTATCTTGTTGTAAGACAACATTAATTAGGGCAACATTGACAGCAAAGACTATGAAGTGCTTCAGTATTGATCAGAACTTTACAGTTTTGCTTAAACGTCTTTGCCTCAAAGGTTTTTAATTAACCAAAACATCGGAACATATTAATTTGTTCAGTGCAAGGTTGCACATCCATTATAGACAAAGCTTTGTGATAAGCACAGTCTCGCTCTTTAGTGTTGAAGCAAGTTTCACCAGAACAGTTCAGACCTCTCCAGCTGTGTGGGGAGATTTATGGAAATCTGAACAGAAGTGAGACAATGTCGAAATCCCAAAATTCATGATATGACTTACAAGCCGATCCCTTTGCTGTGATAAGGGGTACATGTATAAACCAGGGTAATTAAAATCACCAGCATGAAAACTTAGGTAGGTCGTCTTTGTTTAATCTCAGGAAGTACATGGTCTTTAAAGCAATGCATACATTTGACAGCTTCACCAAAAGGTCCGGCGTAATTTAAAAGGTTAATTAAAACACTGCCTGCCAGATGTCTTGTTTGAAAAGATGTCAAAAGTACTAAGAAATGCAGGAAACTATCAGACACCTTGAATTGTGATTAGTCTACTGCGGATTCCAAATGTTATTTCATCATTGTCAGGTTGAAGTGTTTTATACAGGAGGCAATTACCCACTTTTCTCACCAGGAGCCTCAATGCAGAAAATAATTATTCAGAGGTCATGTGACAGGGTTAGGGATTAGGGTTAGAATTATTCAACACATTTTATGGGTTGACATGCTTCCGTGTTTGGCAGCCATTTTGCAAACTGGATACTCAAGGACAAACTCACATTTGGGTTTTTGGGAAATTCAAAGTAACCCCAAGCTGCTGATTTAAATTTATTTTGGGGGGGATGCTAATATCATAGATGCTTCTTTGTGCCAAGTTCTCCACTGAAGTGTGTGTGGGGTCAGTCCGTCAGGCAGTCGAGGAGGATCGGAGCGCATGCACCTGTCAAATTCTCTATTTGGTTTAATTTTCCTTTTTTAAGTACTGGTTATATCGTTTCTGTGTAAATCATAAAACTAGTCCACTTCCATGATGAGTGCAACAATTTAGAGTAAAAGCGTAACTATTGGGATTATGTGCAATTTCTAAAGGCGACGGTGAGGAACAGTGTTTGAGATCAAATCAGTTTCTGAGGTTTTTATAATGCGCAAATGAAGGGAAATGTCCTTTTCATCTGCCTCAGTGACAGAGAGGAAACTGTATCTATATTCATACGTGTTAGTGAGGTAGCAGCTGATCAAGCAGGAGCACCTTGAAGGTTTGCTCTCAGAGGGAAGGAGCACTTCAGAGGTTCAATCCAGTGTTAAATCTTGAGCCAATTAGGAGGATCTTTTATGCAGAGAGGTTTGGCTCCTCTCAGATATTCAGCAGTTCCATACATAAAATAATGATGCATTATATAACAATACATATGTATTGAATATGTTCCTGAGCATGTTCCCTCAGCAGGGTCCCTCAGTAGAAAGAAAATGGGGTTTGTGGATCTTGCATGTGATAAAAGAACAAAATGACTGGTGTTGTTTGCTCGATATGTGGCCTCATCATAGACTGTTAACTGTGATTCAACAAGGCCATTAGTTTCAGTGTTTTGTTTTTTTTGGCAGTTTTGAAACCAAAGTTTGTGTAAGTTTGACTTTGATCGATAATAAGGTGGTCGCCGTGGCGTGAATGTGGCATTGACTGGAGTTGGAAGGTATAATGGTTTCATTGTCACTGCAGAGTGTGTAGGAAGTAAATTGTGTGGCTCTGAATTCAAGGAGTTATCCATCAAGGAGTGTTTTCTCTTCAATCCCTGATCCCTTGTTTATTTACAGTCCAAACTAGTTGTGTCCTTTCCCCCCTGAAAATAAATGAATAAGAAATTGGCTTTATTTCAGTTAGTATGCCAACTTATCGAAGAAAAGGCTGACAGACCCAGCATTAGCAGAGCGATGCACAGTCCTGTTCCGCACAACTAAAGTGTTGTTCTGATTTCCCCACGAAACTGAAGATATTTCTGTAGCAGTCCACGTCAGAGAATTGTCTCTTGCTACATAACAATAATCCAAATCTCATTATGTCTAAAACAATCTCCCTGTCAGCATCACTGACGGGTGTGTTGCAGCAGTTTGTTTAGAGGGCGTTGGTGTTCTATGCTGTGGCTGATTTCAGGCATTAAATAATTGACAAACTGGCGTCAGCCTGTCGTACTTTGATGAAAGTGGCATTTCGCTGGCCGGCACAGCTGGTTATGCCTTTCATTACAGCTCTGTGCAGCGGCGGCGGTCCCTGTGGATGGCAACGTCGGAGAACAAAAGACGACACAACGCGATCACCCCGCTGTGGCTCGGATTTAGCGAGGTATCGGCACAGAATGGTGTCAGAGCTCAGCGTGAAAACAGTTTGATCAGTTCACTGTCTCTTTCACTTTGGTTGTTAGAGGCTTAAAGGCTGGAAACTTAACAGCCCCTGCAAACCCACACAGGTGTCATTATTTAGTTATTATTGGTCGAAGATGAAGATGAAGGTCTGCCGGGAGTTTCCTGAGATCACCTAAATCCTTTCCCGAGTGCTGCATTCACATCACATTACACCGAATGGAAATGAACACAGTTGAATGGGAGAAAAAGGACATGCTGTGCTGCGTCGAGGTCACTGGGAATTTCCTGTCAGCTACAATACCTCCACGTGGAGAAAAGAACAACAGACGGATAAAGAAAGTCGTCCTAAAATAACACCAAAGCCCTCAGCTCAGGCTAATCCACATCTAACATTAGAGCAATTAGCTAAATTCTTTATATTTTGGTGGATGGGGGGGAAAAAAGGCTGGATTTAAAACAGTGCAACATTTTAAATCCCCAGTTCACAAATTGTAATCGAGACTCATATAATTAAAAGTGGAAAAATAATGAATTCAAATCATCAATAGTGTAGTAGTGTCGTCAATCTTCAAAGACGTTTGAGGCGGCTCTGATTAGGGGAAGAGAGCAACTCAGTCCACAGTCTGTTTCATGTCAACAGCAGCGTCCAGACAAAGTTGTGGATAATGATGGAGTCTTGTCGCCCATCCCAACCCCCATCCACCTGACCGTACCCCTCCCCCACCCTCTTACTCCGGAGGGCGTGAAACTACTTTGGTTTAGCAGAGGACGCTCAGCGCGCACGTGACCGTTACGCTGCGATTTCATTATTGCCGTTATCTCCGAATACAAAGCTGTCTTCTCCCCCACACAGACGGTGACAGTGACCTGATTTCATTTTGCATTTCAGTCGACATGAAACGTGACGGAATGGTTTGGCACAGAGGGCAGTGGAGTAGCAGCCTGGAGATAGCGCCGTCTTCTCTTTTTATTAAGCTGAGAATCAATCTTGAATTGAGAATTTATTCAGAGCAGAATTGTTCTTCAGACTCTCAAGTCCTTCAATGAATTCCCAAGCCTTTGTTGAATCTTTATATTCTTAGATTTCTTTGGCTTTTTAGAACCCATGCACATCTTATCACTTTTGCATTTGGTAGTTCACAGGATAACTTGAGGACGGATTATAAAAATACTTGGTCACTTTTTTTTTCCTTATCTAAAAGTGTCTTTTGTAAAATGATATAAAATATGCTCATTTCAAGCCAAAGGTGTGATGTAAAAACATTTCCTTCCATTTCCTGGTTACTAACACTTTAAGAAATGATCCAGTACATTCAGTGACTTTTTTATTAGTTGAGTTGTAGTTGTAACCTTCATCAGTTCTTTTAAGGTTCTTTTATACACAAGCATGTTCATTTTTATGAATATACTTGTAATGAGCTCTTCACCACTTTGAATAGAGTCAATAAGAAATTTCACAAAAAGGCGTCGTCTGGTGAAGGCTGTGGACGTTCAAGAGCAACAGATTGGTTCTCAGCAAAATAATGTTCTCCACATCTCAGTGTTGCAACACCCTGATAGATGCTGTTACATCGCGGCCTTTAGTAGTTTTCTTGATATGGTTTTAAAAGCAAAGTAAGTCATCGTTCATGAAAATTACTAATTTGCCCAACTCCATTTTCGAAACTAAGAACATAATTGTGCCTGTGTTATGTTATCAAGTAATTATCTCTTTAGTTTCTGTCAAAATGTTCTATTAAGCCATAAAACATTTGCTTGTAGAAACTTTATCATGTAGAAACTTTATGTTTCAACTCTCACAGCAGACTTCAGACGCCAAACATTTTTAGTTACATTTCACATGAAACAAAAACTTTCCATTACCTTAAGCAAAATGCTTTTAGTTCGTGCATCTCTGACCTTAATCCAAACAGACGTTCCCACCAGAGTGATGTCAGGAAAGCAGTTTAGTTTCTAGCAGACGGCATCATCCTACAATGTCGCACTTTACTTCTGTGGCCCCATAATGACAACGTTTGCACTTGTAGATATGAATAAAGGATGGTAAGTCTCCTATGAAAAACAAAAGGGAATAAGAAGTACGTGTGTTTAATGTTGTGCAA